AAATTATATGCATATTTTTCATAAAATACTTGTTTCAGATAGAAATTTAGAAAAAATATTTGTAATTGTATATTTTATTCAAAGTTCAATTAATAAAATCTAATTTGGTTAATTAATTTATAATCATTAATAAATAAAAATTAATTTTAGATAGATACGTGATTATAACGCTAAATTATTATTAAATAATTTTAAACTCTGATGTTAATTTTTTCTTAAATACTTTACTTTTAAAAATTTAACTTCAAAAACAATTTTATAGGTTCATTCAAATCTTATCATAATATATCTTACATAACTAAATCATTTGTCATAATATCACATAAATAAGTACAACAAATAAATTTATTTAATAACATGTTCAAGGATTTAAAAATCTGCTTTATCCAATACATACTAGAATGTTCATACTAGAATTTTAAGTCATTAAATCGTTTTATATATTTCTAAATCACTCACTTAACAAAAACGACGAAATAAAGATCTATCTTTTTTTCATTTTCATGATATCAACAATTCTCGTTTTTTCTTAAGAAAGATAAAAAGAAGTTTCCGCTGATGAATTTTACTTTCGTATTTTTTTTTGGATTATGTCTTGCTTTTCTACAAATGTTTGTAAATGTAATTCGTAGAAGTGATATTAATGATATTGATTTATATGACGTAGTATATGTAAGTATCTATGGTATATTGAGTATCAGTCTGTGGATTCGTTGAATTCAAATGATTATATGGATCAATCATCCTTGCGAGGAATGATCCATATAATGAGGAATGTTAGAAAATTTCTTTTTCCTTTACGAACAAAAATTTATATAAAAATTTTTTTATATAAGATAGAAAACGTAAAACAAGCTTTCTCTAGCCATCTATTGAATCTTGTATTAAATTGAATAAACTTGTATTAAAGAACAAATAAATATAAGGATAATAAAATAATAATAAATGTAATAATTAAACTACGAAATATCAAGAAAATAATGTATACATATGTTTTCTATATTGAAATAGTTAAGAATTCCATAAATTATTAAACCTAATCATATTGAGAGAGAAAAAGATAAACAAATTCTTATATGACTAGTTGCTGTAAAAATATGAGGAAATAATCCTAAAAAGTTTCTAAAAAAAAATACAAATTATTAGACTTAAAAAAATAATAAATTAAGTTTGAAAAAGAGTATGAGATTAGCACTTTAAATTCATTAAATAAATATTTAATAATTGATGATCATAAAAAGGTGAAGTGGGAATGTTCAAATCAGAAATTATGAGGTAAATAAAGAAAAATTAATATTATTCTTAATCAATTTAAAGACAAATTTATTGATGTAGAAGGATCAAATACTGAAAATAAATTTATTATCATATTTATAAAAAAATTAATTTTTTTAATTTATTAAATATATTTAAAAGTTATTATCATTATCATATTCTCTTATTTCTGTATATAATATATGATATCTTGTTATAATTTCTATAATATATTTTATCTATAATATATTTTATTAAATATTGACAGCACATGATTTTACTTGCGACTGTCGCAATCTCGCGGCAAGTTATGTAAGCGATTCATACACGTCTAATCAATCAAGAAATGCAACAGAAGATAAGTGATAGTGTATCGTACGATTCGTACATTTCCAATAAATTTGTGATAAATTAATTAAAATTTGTAATAAATTAATTTGTGATAAATTGATAATAATTTAATTCAATAGGAATCAATTGATTATAATACAATTGTATTAATACGATTGTATTACAATCAATTGACTCCTATTGAATACAATAAAAACTGATATATTATTTTAATAAGTCAATTAATTGTGTTACAATCAATTGACTTAATAGAATAATATATCAGTTTTTTATGAAAAGTGATCTCATTGATACTTTGATACTTTTGTTTGA